AAACTGATGCTCAGTATCGCAGGATAGGCCACTCCTCCACTCTCTAATTCCTTTCTTAGGCTCGTCAGCATTAGCTCTGTCAGGATGATTGGATTACCCTCTGTAGTCGCTCCTATGAACTGAAGGAGGTTAGGATGACGTAGCTTAGAAGCAATATTCATTTCACGAGAGAATATCTCAATGTTATAAGGAGAGATGATGACTTCGTAGAGACACTTTGCAGCAACCTTCAGACCACGAAAACCAGCCACTTTCACCTCTCCCCATCCTCCTTTACCAAGGACTACTTCTGTCATTGTAATCTCTCTTCTATTCACTACCCAGGAAGACTCTGCCACTTGTATCTGCTCTTCAAATTGTCTCTCTCTTTCTTGGAACTCTCTCTCTCTTTCCTCAAGCTGTTGCTCTCTTAATTGAAGCTGTCGTTGAAGATCCTGTTCTCTTTGCTGGCCACCTTCTACTTGCCTTAGAAGCTGTTGCTCTCTTTCTTGAAATTCTCTTTCCTTTTCTCGAAGCTGCCGATGAAGATCCTGGACTTGTTCCCTGGCCTGCCTCTCTCTTTCTTGTCCTTGTTGCTGTGCTTGTTGAAGTTGTCGTTCTCTTCCTTGAAATTGTTGCTGTAGTCTGTTTCTAACTTGTTCCTTTTCTCTTCTCTCCTCCTCTAGTTCCCTTTCCCTTTCTTGTAGTAAATGTGTCAGATGGTCTATTTCTATTTTATCCTCATTTCTCCTTTCTTGTAGTTTCTCTTGATACTGGTCCAGAGGTATTATACTAGTAAACCAATCATTATTACTAGTATATCCTATACAGTAACACAATAGTTGAATTAGTGACAAATGCATGTACATGTACATGTAGTAATGTCTGTTAATAAAATAAAAGGCTATAATGCATCTTAATTTATAATTATTATAATAGATATTTACAAATTGTGTATATTCAATACACTTTTATTTGCATGTACTCACTGAGTTCAATAACTGCTGTATCAGTGTATAATGTGCTTCCTCCAAACACAATTATCCAGTTAGTGGTTGGAGTCACACTCCAAACTGAGAGAGAATGATAACATCTATCAGTGGCATTGTCTGGTAAATTAACCTATGCATAAAGGAAGATTAAAATACTTAATAATTTTAATTTTTAATATTTGATTGACTCATTCTTTGACTGTTCATACAAATTAAAATCCCTACCCAGAATGTTAAAAAATATAATAATAAACTTACCTGTTCCTGTTCCTTCCATGATTTATTGTTAATATTAAATATCCAAATATCATCAGTACCAGCTCCACCCACCACTAGTAGGTATGGTCCTAAGCTAGTGCTAATCAATACACTGGAATGAGCATGTCTTCCCTTAGGCCATTGTACTGTTCCTCCAGGATTAGATAACTTTGAACAATTCTAAAATAATGAAATACACACATACAATACATTATTAATTAATAATTAATGTAATTATACTAATAATACACTCACCACTGATGTATCAGTAAAATTAAGAATATATACATTGTTACTGAGTCTATTAGTAGTGCTACCTCCAAATAATATAGCACTGGAATTATTAATTGATGTTAAAGTGAAGTCATAAATAGGAGGTGGTCTGTCTCCCGTGACAGTCGGTGATATCCATTGTCCTAAAAATATCAATAATAATAATTGGTGTGAATGGAATGCATTGGGTGGAGCAAACTAGTTGATATTTCTTTGATCATATTATCAAATAATTAGGAGTGACAACCATGAACAAACAAGCAAGCAATTCTCAATGCAACCAGTCTGAGTGGAGAACCACCAAATAACAATACTTCATTATATTAATATAAACTGTATGTGCTCTGACCTGTTGAGAGTTTATAGAAATGAATCTCATTGCATCGTTGATAAGTAATAAATCCTCCACCACTGTACTGGGCACCAGGTTGTGGTGGGGTATTATTAGAAGATGCCATGGGTCCCAATCCTCCAATTACTACAAGATAGTCTTCACCGTTCACTTTTATTGCTACCATGCCACAGTAGGCCTTCATCATAGGACCATGATGAGATGTAGTATATATAGGAGAGAGTTTCTTCCATTTGAACGTATCAACATTAAAACTGTATAAATATCATATATTTATCAGTAACTATCATGTTTACCTGTATAAACTATTATAATAACAGTCTTCATGATTACAATAGCCTCCAAAATAAAATATTTCCCTTCCAATGGCAGCAGCTGCATAGCTCCTAACACCAAGTGGAGGGTCACCAGTGGTGGGTTTCTGCTCCCACCTACCAGTCCTTAGGTGACACACCTCCATCACAGAACACATTGATTTCTTCTTTTCATTATTATGTACTCTAGGGAGATCAGGCTGGTCCCCACCCCACATGTACAGGTAGTCTCCTACCCGTACAGTGGAGTGTCCATACCTCTCCACTGGTTGATAGTCTATAGATAACAAGAGGTAACAGTAACGGAATGATACACTAATAGTAACAACACACGAGTCATAATCAAGTATAAACAAAATACTGACCTGGTGCTTTGGCTGTCATCATAGATAATTATTTTCATTTACTCTATTATCTATGCTGTCATTTTGTTTGGAGGTAAACGCCCGGCCTGTCGCCCTTCTATGACGTCA